TTTTTTACTAGGGATGGCTACATCTTGGGGCATTTTACGAGTTGGCTACGTCAATGGGGCCACGGACCTTGAAGTCACCAATCTGAATCTCCTTGCCCTTGTCAGTGACGTTGCCCTGGTAGCGCCTCAGGCGGAACTCACCCCAGCTCAGCTGGCGGTAATTGGCTACATCACCAGGCTTCATTACAATGGGCTCCACTTGAGCTTTGTACGACGGGTTGTAGAAGAAAGGTGCTGAAAAGCGATCGGCTCCTCCATTAGCCAGAACGCGATGTAGCGGTGCTACAAACTGGTCGTTCGACCACACCTGCACCATGTCGCCGATGTTGATTGTGTAGGTTGGCCCACGTTTGAGACGGACGGTGAAAAGCCTGCAACGACGCAACGTCATCATCTTGAAGAAGAATAGTGAGAGCACCAGCGTCTGTGTGATGGTAGACGCCCATTGTCTTCTCTGGGTCTTCAGTCGCGGGGTAGTGGTTCAGACGCATGTGACTCGAGTTCTCGTCATGAAAGAACTGGTCAAAGAATGTGGGCTCTTCGCCGAGAGCGACGGCAAATACCTTTAGCAAGCGACGTGCGATGTACTCCATCTTGTTGAAGTACGTGGTCATCTCGTTGTGGAAACCTGGTAGGGCTTCCTCGCTGATCCACTGATTTTTTATCATCTCTCAGACGTAAGTGTTTGTCGTTGGCGGGTCCGTCTTCGTTGGCGCCAGCAAAGTCGAAACACTCTTTGCAGTCCGTCTTGTTCTTCGTGAGCTCGTGTTCAACGTATCCACGCGAATTGGTTAGTGTTCGTTGGACGGTACGCTTGACGTCCTTGGGAGATCGAAGAAGGAGCGCATGGCTTTTTGGAACTTGGCCATTTCTTGCTCTGACAGTCCGTGGTTAGCGATATAGAAAAATCCCCACTCGTTCGCAGCCGCTCCAATCTCCTCGACAATTTTGCGGGGGTCTCCATCCTTGGCGCGAAGCGCGGCATCTACCTCGACATCATTGGGGAATGCAATGAGGGCTGCGACGTCAACCATTGGCACTTGGCGGACGTCCATGGTGAATCTTTTCTCGTGATGTCTTGCTATTTAGCGTGCACATTGAGTAGTGAGTAATGAGGCCCGACGCAGCCAGCGTGGATGTTGGTACGTGCAAACGTTTTCTCATATATTCTTCATACCTTGACGCCAGCAAAATGCAAAGAGTGATTGGGTGCCTTGGGGCTTCGACTTTCACCTCATCCTACTCGTCCTATCCGGCGGATTGAAGTGACGCCTTCCAACTTGGAATCGTATTTTGTTTTGAATGGATACGAATCCGTCCTCATTTTGCGGGCAAGGGAGCAAATACTTACAATACACGCCGACACCAATGCTGGTTTAACAATACGAGTAACGCTAAGGGTGTGGTCATCCTAAACTGCAACAGCATTGGACACGTCAATTATAGGTTGTACTATTAATATACAAATGGTGACCTATACAACAGATTTAGATCGCTATTTACTTGACAAAACGGTCAAACAGTCTCGAAAAACCAACCGAGCTTGAACCAGCAACATGTCAGCAACTTAAATAGCGATTGGGTTGAGATCCGCTATGTTGAGTTGCTTCTGCGCAACTTGAATCGAATCGAACAGAATTCCATCGGTGTGTTCAACACCAAACTGCAGCAAAGACAAGCAAAATGCTCAAAGCTGGAAGCTGGAAGGTGCCAGCCATAACGACGAGCGGTCGGTAACGCACACCGCTCCACGCCAAGCAACAATGGAATTCCTCAACACAATCTGGCGCTTCTCTTTCGGTGGAAATAAGGACGTGGTCGAAGGGCAGAAGGCGCTTGAGCGTATCCAGGATCTGCTGGTCAAAGCGATTGCCAAATACGACGGCGCTCCGCACGCGTTGACGGCCGAGGAAATCACGCCTGTCAAGGCTATTTGTGACGAGCTCTTCCCAGCTAATTGTAATGTTGAAGAGTTGTTATGACAGATAAACGTAAGGCTTACTGACAATCTGTCTTGAGTTATTCCAGTCCAGCTAACAGTTCCAGGGACGGAGGGCAGCGGACCCGACCGCCCCAAACGCGTGCACTATCAGCACGTCTACGAGGACGAGACGTTCTCCATCGGGTAGGCTTCTCTAGATCTGCTGATGCTGATAGTATTGACTAATGTGCTGCTGTTAGAATCTTCATCTTACCGCCGGGAGCGTCGATCCCGCTGCACGACCACCCGGGGATGAGTGTCATCTCGCGTGTGTTGTACGGCTCGCTGCATATCAAATCGTATGACCTTATTAAGGACAGTGCGGCACCGAGAGACAAGAAGCTGAGGGCGCGTCTTCGCGTAGATGAGGTTATCACGGCTCCGTACACGACAGAGTTGCTGCCAGACTATGGCAACCTACACGAGATCGTTGGCGACGACGAGATTGGCTGTGCCTTCCTCGACATCATCACACCTCCCTATGACAGCAACGTAGGCCGCGACTGCGCATACTTCCGTGTAGTCGATTCACAGGACAGCAACGACAACAGCGAGAAGATCGTGATGCTCGAGAGTTATAGCCCTCTCGACTTTGACGTCATAACAGAAGCTTATTACGGCCCCCATCTGCAACGATATGTCAGTTAAGAACGCATTACAAAGTACATGTAGTTCAGCGCATTTTTCAATTCACCGTATCATCAATAACACAACTGAGAAGATACCAAGAAAACTGGTGGGAGCCTCAAAAGAATGTTATTCTGCGTCAGCTTTAAGTCGAAGTACTAGGCTAAAAGCATCTAGTTCTCCGAGGGCATGGCACGCAGAATGTCGGAGTCACCGGCGTCAAGGATGCACATGCACGACACGCGGAAGTACTTGCCGCAAGCCGTACCGAGGTCGTTGTTGGTGCCCGAGAAGTGGTGCACGCCAGTCTTGGCAAGCATCGAGTAGTACTCGACCTCCGACTTGCGGAGCGGGGGCGTGTTCGAGGCCATGATCACGAGCTTGGCCTTGCCGCTGCGCAGGTTCTTGAGGGTCTGCTTGTAGCCCAGAGCGACCTTACCGGAGCGCATCACAAGCTGCAGACGAGAGTTAATGTTGTCCGAGGACTTCTTCTGCTCATAGGAAACACACAGCGAGGAATTAATACAAAACTTGTCGTTCCTCCATCGAATTCAACCCATCCGACTTCGCAGGAACGGCAATGCGGCAGCGTCAAAAGCGACCGAACGCGACCTCGTCCATCGGATGGGCATTGCACTGAGTCAAGCAGCAGTTGTGCACCCTACCGACTTCTTAGAGGCAACCATCTTGATTCGTTTCTCTGCGTAAGCTCCACTGAATCACAAAGTGGGGCTGGATGAGGTGCTCAGTCCTAATGGAGGACTGCTCTCCTCCAATCAGTATTTCGTGGTGGTCCACATGAAAAATGTTTGATTGGCGGAAAGAAAATGTGTGATGATTGGCCGAAATGAGGACAAGTTGAAGCGACATACCTTACGTGCCCCACCTAATTGAGAGGACTGACGGGAATGAAGCTTGGCGACGTGGCCACCTATGCAGTCCCCTGGGGTGGAGCTATAGGCTTCAATGTGGGTGGCATTGGCAACGAAATCCACTTTACAACGCAGATCATTTTATTATTTAGCTTCTTTTGCCAAGTGTGCAATATAAAGAGTAATTCGAGGAGATAACTTATAACGCAAAGGGCCAAACTTTGTGATATAAAGTCGTGAGCGTGTTGCCGCCATCTGCACGCTTAGGAATTGGCAGTGTCAATGGGCCCGTTGATCTTGAAGTCGCCAATCTGATTTTCTTGGCCCAAGTCGGCATAGTTTCCTCGAGCACGTGCCACAATGTACTCGAGAAAGCTAAACGGACGGTAATTGGGCACCTCGCCTTCCTTCACCACAATAGGCTCCACCTGCACGTCGTACGCCGGGAGATAAAAGAACGGAGCTGTGTATCGACTGGCCTTGTCCGTAGCCAGCACACGATGCAATGGCGCCACGAACTTGTCATTGGACCACACTTGGATCAAATCCCCAGTGTTAATGGTGTACGTGCCTTTACGTGGCGGTACGTTCACCCACGTGTTCGACTCTCGGTGTAGCACTTGCAGTGAAGCCACGTCGTCATCTTGCAGTAAAATTGTAAGTGCGACCGAATCTGTGTGATGATAAACGCCCATCGTTTTCTCAGGCTCTGGAGCAATTGGATAGTGATTCAGTCTCATTACACTGGGGTGGTTCCCATGGAAAAACTTGTCAAAGAACGTTGGGTCTTCGCCCAAAGCAACAGCGAACAACTTCATCAATCGACGTGACATGTACGCCATCTTCTCGTAGTACGTTTGCATTTCGTGGCGGAATCCGGGGAGTACATTTTCATCCAGCCACTGGTTTTGCAGCTTTCTTGGTGGTTCGCTGTTGTTGAGATTGGGTGGGTCATCCTCGTACGCACCAGTGAAGTCAAAACATTCTTTCCAGTCTGTCTTGTTCTTCGTGAGTTCCTTCTCAACGTATCCACGCACATTTTCTTCAGTCCGAGCGATACTGCGTTTAATATCTACTGGGAGATGGAAGAACGATCGCATGCTTTCTCGGAACCTTTCCATTTCCTCTTCTGGTAGACCATGGTTAGTGACGTAGAAGAAGCCCCACTCGCTGGCAGCAGCGCGGATATTCTCGAGGATCTCACGAAGTGCGACGTCTTCAGTGTCGCGTAGTGCGGCATTGACTTCAGCGTCCGTGTCGCGTGCCATGAGGGCGCCAATGTCGACGACTGGCACTTGATGAACCTCCATTTTCGGTGCGGTGGGGGCGGTGTTCTCAGGAAATAGCGACTTTTGGGCAAAACGTATCCTACCTGAGAAAATGGACAAATTTTGTGATTTGATCCCAAACTGTCGCCCGAAGCAAGACATTACTGCACACATACGAGTAGAGTGCACAGCGGCGCCGGAAATAGCAATGATTCAGAAAGTAAGCATGGCGTGTTTTAAGCCAAACAAGTAGAGCTACAAATGTCGCTTTCATACGTAGCATTTCATCGCACGGGGATAATTGCTTTGCTTGAATCTGCACTAGTCGTCGACAATGATATCAATTCGATCAGATGAATGTCGTCCACCGGAACACAAGATAGGGGCCCAGCTCCACGGGGACGTAAATTTTAGAAGTCACGTTCGCGGCGAGTCTGCAAGTTGTTGTTTTCTTTTTTACGTTGGCTAAGCCTCTTCGACATACTAAAGTGCTGTCCGCCAAAGGCGCGAGTGAGTTTCCAAACGGTAATTGCAGAGATACAACTTCAAAGAGCGTTCATCATGCGGTGTTGTTGTTTATTTATAAGAATACAACAAATGTAACTATTTTTGATCCATAGCGATCTAAACGAATGCGAAATGCCTATCAATAGTAGGTTGAACATATGAATCACACTGCGGCACCTACACACTTCACGAGTTGCTCACTCCAGACCACTGTGAATATATCGCAGCTCGTCAACCCGACCACTTTATCTGTACAACAAAGTAGCTTGCCAGCATGGTGCGCGTGTTCCTGGCCCTCAACGGTTCCTTGGCCGTGGCGGCTCAGATGGCAGTGACCTTGGCCACCAGAGTATCCTTCGTGAACGACTGCAACTACGACATCAACTTGTATGATAACAGCGTGGCCGAGACCATCGCGGCGGGAGGCTCTATGTCTCGCGACCTGGCCGACGGCTTCAGTGGAATGTTCCGCAACGGCATGAGCACCGAAGCTACGCTGGCCCAATTCGCCATCAGCGGCGGCAAAACCTGGTACGCTATCAGTACCGTGCCTCCTGGAGCAGGTAGTTGCACCAGCTACGCCGAATGCGCCGCCACTTCGGGCAAGACCGGCTACAACGTGGCCATGACCATTACCCCCGATGTCGGCACCACTGCCGTGAATGCAGAGTGCACAGCCGTCACCTGTGAAAGCCCCGACTGCGAGGGTGCCTACCTGTATCCGTCAGACGACACCAAGTTGCACAGTTGTCCTGATACCCTCGCGATGAAAGTGACCTTCTGCCCAGGCGGTTCGTCCTCGACAACGACGCCGACGAGCTCCACCGACACCGTTGCTCCAGATACCCCCATTGTTACGTCTACGCCTTCAGAGACCCCCGCTGACACACCCACACCTGCGGCTACGACGGCAACGGTTGCCTCGGCAGGAGAATCATCATCCTCGGCTTCGACAACCAGTACCGATACCTCAACAACGACTACGGCAACCACGCCCGGCTCTAAGGGGAGTCTCTCAAGCGCTACCATTCGCTCGAGCTTTGAGTACAGAGGCACGACTGCCGGGTCAGCCACTGGTACCTACGGCAAAGTGACAGATATGTCCTCGTGCACGACCGAGGACGTTTCAGTCAGCGACCCAATCGGCCCAATGAGCGAGGAAGTATCCATGGTCTTCCGTGGCCCTATGAACATTTACAACATCGCCGTGTTCTCCGGGTCACCCGGTAACGACTGGACCAAGGTGTCGTCGTACGATGCCAGCGCCGGTACGCAGGACAACATGATCTTCATGAGCAACCTCAACATTGATTACACCGGTGCCAACTCGAGTCCTCAGGGGTACGCGACTGCCGACGGTAAGGCTACGGCAAGCGCATCGACCATTTTCGGTGGTTGGCTAGCGGATGCCACCGATCCGTCAGTGGTTGGCGGTGGACCGTGTGTATCCACCGGTTGTGAGGTGAACATCATGACGGCGACCAACTGCGCCGACAAACACGGCTGCATTGGATACTACGATGACATGGGTTTCCATGGCTGGGATGGCGGCATGAAGATGTTCGTGACCAAAGTACAGATGTCTTCGAGCTCGGCAGCCAACCTACCCGCTATTTGGATGTTGAACGCTCAGGTTGTGCGCGCGAATCAGTACGGCTGCAACTGCCGTGGCTGGGGCGCTCACGGTGGTTGTGGTGAGCTTGATGTCTCTGAGGTAATTGAGACCAACACGGACAAGGATAAGGTGTCCACTCACTATTATTTCTACGACGGTAGCGTGTCTCCCGGTGGTGACAACTACGCCACGCGCCCAACTGATACTCCTGTGACGTACGTGACCATCTTCGACAACTCGGGTGAGGGCATTGTGAAGATCATCGAGATTGGCTGCGATGATTTTGACTTTTCCGTGGATTCTGTGTCGGCCGATACGGTATCGGCATGGCTGTCCGCCCCGGTGAAGAACCTGCTGAGCTAGTTTTTTTTTTAAGTGGAACGATGAGACTTGGTCGCATTGAATGCTGTAATCGTGTGGCAGGATCAGCAGAAATGCCAGATAGCTGGCGTTCCACTGGAGTTGACACGAAAACAGTGCTCCCTGATGAAGATTTAGCCTATACAATTGCATTGCCCCCAAACAATATACTGTGCTTTCAACTATTCATTTGCTTTATTTCAACACTTCGCTCTTCAGCAACACCAGCGACAGCAGAGGCCGCTCACGCATAACTCGTTGGTTTGTTTGGCGACACTACGCTGCCAGCGAAACTATCTACGTGCAAGGCGCTACATTTTCCGCGAACTTGTATACAAATTTTGCGGAAATCCATTTGGAGAAAGATACTTTATCAGAAATTGAACTAGTCGCCTTGATCAGCAAATCGACAGCTTTGTCGAGTCCCGGAGAACCAATTTTTTTTTTACGCATTATGTTCTTAACTTAATCCTTTCGTCAATCGCAGAACTCTACTGCTCCGCGAGCATTTTATATCGCACCGTGTGCGCTCGTTGTCCTGATGCCTCCTGAGATAAAGTCATTGCTGCCATTGGCGCGAGCCCCCATCGAGTTGCTCGGCACTCGTGATGCGGTCAGCACGACAATGATCGAAAAGGATGTGAGCCAAGCGTTTAGCGGGGACCTTACTAAGGTCCTTACATCACGGCAGATCGGAGACGTTAGGCGCGTCTGGCGCGGTACTCACTCACACACTTCGCAACTTGCTCATTCACGCTCAGCTGTGAATACATCGACAACTAGCAGGTCGTCGATCCGACAACTCTATCTCAACTCTCCAGCATGGTGCGCGTGTTCCTGGCCCTTAGCGGTTCCTTGGCCGTGGTGGCTCAGATGGTAGTGACCTTGGCCACCAGAGTATCCTTCGTGAACGACTGCAACTACGACATCAACTTGTATGACAACAGCGTGGCCGAGACCATCGCGGCGGGAGGCTCTATGTCTCGCGACCTGGCCGACGGCTTCAGTGGAGTGTTCCGTAACGGCATGAGCACCGAAGCTACGCTGGCCCAATTCGCCATCAGCGGCGGCAAAACCTGGTACGCTATCAGTACCGTGCCTCCTGGAGCAGGTAGTTGCACCAGCTACGCCGAATGCGCCGCCACTTCGGGCAAGACTGGCTACAACGTGGCCATGAGCATTACCCCCGATGTCGGCACCACTGCCGTGAATGCAGAGTGCACAGCCGTCACCTGTGAAAGCCCCGACTGCGAGGAGGCTTATCTGTACCCGTCAGACACAACCAAACTACATAATTGCCCCGACGCACTCACCATCCAAGTGGCCTTCTGCCCGGATGGATCGACCAATTCGTCGGCAACGACGACAAGCACCACCGGCGCGGTTGCTACGGAGACCCCCGTTACCACATCCACCCCTGCATCCACGGAAGGTGTAGCTGCTACGGAGGCCCCTGCTGTCACATCGACACCTTCAGCTACAACTGCTTCGGTTGCGTCGGATGCCGATTATACGTCTAGCGTTGTGGCGACGAAGTCTTCTTCTTCAGCCTCCTCGACTACCGCAACGACGAGCACCTCGACTACTTCCAGTAGCACGACAACAACGTCCAGCGCCTCAACCAGCAAGACCACTACAACGTCGAGCGGCTCCACGGGAGACTTCTCGAGCGCTACCATCAGTTCGAGCTTTGCGTACAGCGGCACGAACGCTGGTTCGGCTGCTGGTACTTACGGTAAGGTAACCGAAATGTCCTCATGTACGACCGAGGACGTTTCGGTGAGCGACCCGGTCGGCCCGATGAGCGAGGAAGTGACCATGGTCTTCCGTGGCCCTATGAACATTTACAACATCGCCGTGTTCTCCGGTTCATCCGGCAGCGACTGGACCAAGGTGTCGTCGTACGACGCCAGCGCCGGCACGCAGGACAACATGGTGTTCATGAACAATCTAAATATTGACTACACCGGTGCTAACTCGAGCCCGCAGGGGTATTCAACGGCCGACGGAACAGCTACAGCTACTGAGTCGACCATCTTCGGTGGTTCACTGGCCGATGCCTCCGACACGTCCGTAACTGGCGGTGGCCCGTGCGTGTCCACCGGTTGTGAGGTGAACATCATGACGGCGACCAACTGTGCCGATGAAGACGGATGCATTGGATACTACGATGACATGGGTTTCCATGGCTGGGATGGTGGTATGAAGATGTTCGTGACCAAGGTGCAGATGCCGACGGGCTCAACGGCCAACCTGCCTGCTATCTGGATGCTGAACGCCCAGGTTGTGCGTGCCAGCCAGTACGGCTGCAACTGCCGTGGAGAGGGCTCGGAGGGTGGCTGTGGTGAGCTTGATGTCGCCGAGGTTATCGAGACCAACACAGCCCAGGACAAGGTGTCCACCCATTATTACTTCTACGACGGTAGCGTGTCCCCTGGCGGTGACAACTACGCCACGCGCCCGACCGACTCGGCTGTGACGTACGTGACTATCTTCGACAACTCGGGCGAGGGCATCGTGAAGATCATCGAAATTGGCAGCGACGACTTTGATTTCTCAGTGGACTCTGTGTCTGGCGATACGGTATCGGCGTGGCTAACCACTTCGGTGGAGAATCTACTAAGCTAGGTGAAATGAGGCTTAACCTTGCATTGAGTGTTGGAATCGTGTGGTAGGACTGACACAAAATGCCAGGTAGTTGACGTTCCCTAGGTGATAACATGACACAATGTTCTGTTTTGAGAAGAGTTAGTACCCATATTAGCTATTACTTTCAACTTAGAAGTAGGTCTTTTTTTTCAAGTAATACCCGTGCTATCTACTCTATACTTGAAGTATTTGCTTTTAAAAAGAACAAGGCTAAAGTGTTGTACAGAGATAAGGAAAGCTTTCGGAGCTGCGCACATAACCGTTTTTGTAAGTTAGTGCGTTATACCCACATAAAATTTGCAATTAAATCCTGTCCAGATGAAGACGTAGCAGGCTGCTGCTGCCATTAACAGCAAACTCCGCGTAACATGTTTTAATACACGTAGATGCATCGATAGGCTGAAGATTTAATCAATGTAATTATTAATATATATGTGATACCAGTTTGCCTTGACGATGCGTCGCTGAAATGCCTCCGCGCGACGGCACTTCGCTGCTGTGATGCGATGCTAGAGCGAGCAAGAGCAAGGGACAACACGCGAGTAAAACCAGGAGATCCCATGTTGAAGCGGTTGGCAACACTACGAAGGAGGACAGGAGGACAACCCCCACGAATCAGTCCACTCTATTACAGTAGATGCTCCATAACGCGAAAGATTTGTTTTGCGAGATCGACATTATTGCGGGCCTCGTCGTAGGAATGGTGCGCTCATCGGCGAGAAAGGAGCGGCACGCGTTCCTCACGGCGCCACCAAGATTAATAGTGGCCAACCACCGGCAGCGCTGTCGTCACTGGGGAAATGGTCGCTCGAACAACAGCACGCCACTGGAGCCTTGCAAATCAGTCACGCGTGACTCCTGTGGGATCACTTTCGTACAGCGAGGACTCTCGGTGGCCACACAACGCATGAAGGAGTCCTTGACAAGGACAGGCAAGCGCATCGCTCCAAACCGATCTCCACCGCAACGTTTTATCAATCAGCGAAGCCACTTTACAGAAACGATTTATAAAGCTCGAGACTGGTAAGTTCGACGTCAAAACATTTAAAACCTGCGATGGACAGGACGTCTTATTATATTTTCTGAACCGTGTGTTGGATATTCATTGCAGTCTTTGCGCAGATGGAGATCAAAAGGTGTTGAGGCATGTTGCCTCACAGAGCAGGCCCTCAACTTGAGCGCCTGCGTGTGACTCTTGCGTAAAGTGCATCCTTTTGATATGCTTTGCACCTAACAACCTAACACTCTTAGTGAAAACAAGATGTCGTGAGCCGGTAATACAAAAAGCAAATGATCGAAGGCCGGTTGGCAGAGTGGTACGCCTGTCACCTGGTGAGCCAACGACGGGACGACGAATGGTCCACCAGTAAAATATCTTTTTATCTGCGATACCTGTTTCCTCCAAAACTTGATTATCGCACTAATCACCCTCTTCACTAAGCGCCTGATTTCCTGTCAATTAATCTTGTCATTAATGATAAACCGCCTAAATTTAGTGTTGTGCTTGCACGTATTATCGCAGGCATGCTTGGTGTCAATACATTGCCAGCTGGTACTGGCGTCTATGGCTTTCGAGTGACTAGCGCCTGAGATAGTCATGAGCAAGGCCGCCACGGTGGTGACCACCGTCATCGCCACGATATGCATTGCATCCGTCTGTCGCTTGAGCGTCTCCAAAAGTGCTGATCGGATTCATCCACCTTCATGGTCTGTCGTGGGTAAGCGCAACACCGGCGCGGTTCCGTCCCATTCCGCAAATTGCCAACTTGGGCTCGCATCTGATCATCTTGTACAATGGTTAAGGTCTTTCTCGCCTTGAGCACCGCCATGGTAATGACCGCCCCCGTGGCCGCGTCTGTATCTGTGAGCTTTGTCAACTCGTGCTCATACTCGGTCAACCTGTACGACAACAGCAAGACCGAGACCATCGCGGCCGGCAGTTCCACGTCGCGTGATCTGGCCAGCGGCTACAACGGCATGTTCCGTGACGGCACTGGTGACGAGGCCACCCTCGCGGAGTTTTCCGTCTCGGGTGGATACACTTGGTACGACATCAGCGTCATCCCGCCTGGAAGCGGTAGTTGTTCGTCTTACGAGGCTTGCAAGGAGCTCACGGGCAAGTCCGGCTACAACGTGGCCATGAGCATCGCGCCCGACACCAGTTCGACCAAGTCCGTCTCCAGCTCCTGTGCTACCCTCACCTGCGAGAGCGAGCAGTGCTCGGACGCCTACCTGTACCCGTCGGACGATACCAAGACTCACAGCTGCCCGGATACGCTCCCGTTCACCGTCACCTTCTGTCCCGGCGGATCCAGCTCCAGCACAACCACGACGTCGTCTTCTGCTCAGTCGACCACCCAGCCAACGACTCAATCAACCCCGACGACGACAGCTCCGGCCGCTACCACGGCGGCTCCGGAGGTTCAAGGTGACTACAAGTCGGGCACGGTGACCACCTCGTCGGAAAGCACCACCACGGCTCCGTCAACCAGCAGCACATCTACGGCTACGCAGACTTCGACTTCAACTTCGACCACCTCCAAGACGATGTCGACGGGCAGCTCCGCGTCGTTCTCCAGCGCCACTATCAGCTCCAGTTTCGTGTACAGCGGAACGGACGCTGGTTCCGCCACCGGTACATACGGCAAGGTGACGGAGATGTCTTCGTGCACGACGGAAACCGTGTCGGTCAGTGACCCCGTCGGCCCGTTCAGTGAGGAGGTGTCTATGGTCTTCCGTGGTCCTATGAACATTTACAGCATTGCCGTCTTCAACGCCACATCAGGCAGCGACTGGACCAAGGTGTCGTCGTACAGCCAGAACGGCACCCAGGATAACATGGTCTTCATGAACAACCTGAACATTGACTACACAGGTGCCGACTCGAGTCCTCAGGGATACTCGACGGACGATGGCTCTGGCACTGCCACGAGCTCCACGGTTTTCGGTGGTTCGCTGGCTGACGCGTCGGACGCGTCCGTGACCGGCGGCGGTCCGTGCGTGTCAACCGGTTGCGAAGTGAACATCATGACTGAGACCAACTGTGCCGACCAAGATGGCTGCATTGGATACTACGATGATATGGGATTCCACGGCTGGGATGGCGGCATGAAGATGTTTGTGACTAAAGTGCAGATGCCGACGGGTTCGTCCGTCAACCGCCCGGCCATTTGGATGCTGAACGCCCAGGTTGTACGTGCGAACCAGTACGGCTGCAACTGCCGTGGCGAAGGCTCGGAAGGAGGATGCGGTGAGCTCGACATCGCTGAGGTCATTGAGACCAACACCGACAAGGATAAGGTGTCCACTCACTACTATTTCTTTGACGGTAGCGTGTCTCCGGGTGGTGACAACTACGCCGCGCGTCCCACGGACTCTACGGTGACGTACGTTACCATCATCGACAACTCGAGCACGGGTACCATCAAGATCATTGAGCTTGGTGGCGACGACTTCGACTTCGATGTGGACGCTGTGTCGGCTGACCAGGTGACGTCGTGGATTGAGGCTTCGGTCGAGAACTTGCTGAGTTAATGCCTGTATGTACAGCGTCGCGGTATGTTCCCCACTAGTTGCAACTAATAGATGAGGGTCATGCTGTGTCTCCTTTCCTCTAATTCGTAGTAAATTGATATCTATACAGAATTTTGACTTCTACGCTTTTTGATTCACATCAACTTGTTTTTAAACGCAATTGTAGATGTAGTAAGCGTACCCTTCAGCGTCAATTAAGCACGACAACGCTTCTACTCGTAAGTATATATGTAAGCAACCTTTTCCGGTGACTCGAAATCCTTGGCGACGATCCCTTGCTCGACAGCTTCTCGAGACGGTGAGTCTCTGTTATTACGTACTGCCTTGTTTTGTAATGCTACCATTAGTCTTAGGGGCGCCGGTAGCGCTCGTATTTGCAGCGGGAGTAGGGTCCTCTTGCTTGACATTAGCCTCTGATTGAGCGGGGTCCTCTTGCTTGGTATTAGCCTCTGGTTGAGAGCCGTCCGTCTGGTTAACTTCTCCCTGGGACGGTGAATCGCCCAACGTGCCAACGCCGAAGTTATCAGCCGATTCTGATAGCTGAGTAGCCTCACCCGGTTTGTATCCCGTGATCTCCTTGTACTTCTTCACCGTCTCTAGAGCTCGCGCTCCGTTCACCGACTCAAACTTGCCACTCTTCTCTACAGTGTTGCCAGGACACGAACGACCCAGTGCAGCACTGCAATCGTCCGCCACCGAGATGCTCGCTTTCTCAGCGTCGGCCTCCATGGGCTGTAACGTACCCTCAAAGAAGTTGCCTTCAGCCAGAACGAAAGCGTTCTTCCCTGGCTCAAACGAATGACCCGAGTTGTCGGACCAGTAGTTGTTGGCAATGTGCGCCACCACGTTTGCATTCGGACTTGACGCACCGATGATTTTTGGTGAACGGCCCGATGTCGAGTGGACGTAGTTCTGGAGGAAGCTCACGCGCGTAGTAGTGCCGTCCAGAATGAACCCCCAGTAGTGACGACCGTCACACGAACTCGACCAGTCTGTGCGGCCATCGAAGTCCGAGTTACTGATCGTGATACTCTCGACACCGTCAAAACCACTGACGAACATCTGCCGTCCAACACGTGACACCTTAACGTGGTCGATCCAGATTTTCTTCAATGCGCGTTTATCGATGCCTCCCATGAAGAAGGCATCTCCTCCCCAAATATACTGCGGGTTGAGCTCAGTGATGTGGATATTCTGGATGATGATGTTGTCACCCTCGAGCTTGAGTCCTTTGCCTTTCAATACCCCTTTCTTGCCGACACCACGCAGTGTCTTGTTACTGCGAACCGACAACATGTCCTTGCTGGCGTTGTCATACGTGATCTCCACTTTCTCTGGCTGATCACACCCTCCTGTGTGGGTGAGCGTGGTGTCACCTGGAAAGAGAATCACATCCTGACCCTTGAACCCGTTGCTCTTGGCGAGGCAGGCCGTGTTGGACTTGGGTCGGCATCCCATTTCGGTCGTTTTTCCTTCGGATCCGAGGAAGTTGAATTCTTTGTCAAGCACGACAACGCGCGGCTTATCATCGCGGAGGAGCTCTTTTAGTTCGTCCAGCGTTTTGGGGTGGTCGGGTATTGCGTTTCCTCCACCGGTGGTGCCGACAGCGAAACCCGGAGCTTCTCCGGTGGTGAAGCCTTGGGCGATCGACTGGGTAGCCAATAGAACTGTTAGGACAGATGCATGTAAAATTACTCGACAAGGCCTCATAGTTGTCGATCTTGTTCGAAGCAAAGCTTGACTCAATATGTGCGTGCCTCCTCTCAAATCGAAGACTGACAATAGTTACGAGAAGTTCAGTCGTGTTGCGCGGCTGTGAAATCAATGTCAAAGTTCGGACAAAAAAACGTTTTGCAGCATACGGATGGCTCTATCCGGCACGTGTAAACAATGTAAACATGTAAAGCTTGCAGGCTCTATTTTACCTGTATATCGTAAACACATCCTTTATGTGGCAGCCTGGTTTGGTCGCTGCACGCGCCTCGTGAATCCACACAGTTGTATTTCGAGAATTTGATTTGGTTGAATTTTGTGCTCCGTATTTCATCTACAAATGGTTTCTACATGTACATGTGAGTACATGACTTGGAGGAATTACCTTACCTACAGGATTTCAAATGGCCGCGGACTGCTGGATCTTCCTCATACGGTTGTTTTCCTCGGTTACACAGGCGTGCTTCACCTGAAGAAGCTAAAAATCTATTGTTAACATTTTTACTGCCGGCTGAAGAATTTCACGAGGGCACCACAACGAAGCCCACATTTGTTACTATGATAGGTCTAAAACCTTGTGCTGATGGTACCACACTGTCATCAGCTGAAAACAGGCGAGAAACGTAAACTATAGCGTCGCTCGCAATGAGGTGGTGGTAAACCGTGTACACGAACCAGCTCTGGATGACGGTTATTTCGAGCGTTAACCCTTAAGCTACTCTGGATGCCTACTTAACATGGCACTTTTTGTAATGGCACATGGTTGCCACTTAGCATGGCACGTGGACAAGAATGTAAAGAATGCAGATTGTTGAGAGGCACTCTTGCACTTGAAGAAGGACACGTGGGAGAAGGTTTGAAAAAGGAAAAGTGAGATTGGTATTAGTGGGAACGATAAGGTATTATCCTATTGTTTGTATCTGGTAGTCTAATACACAGTAAATAACTGCCGGAACCCATTTTGATATAAGATAATAGAGTCACAAGTACCGTATTCTTCGAGTATTAATTTTAATTTCCAGAGAAAACACAATAAAAGGAGAGGGCATGACGAGCCCTAACCTTAACAGCCTCCTGGGTCGTCATCAGGGAATTTTATTGGATGAAACGATTGTTTAATCCTGATTGGATTAGATAGACCCTCTTGAAACTGTTCAGTCAGTTTACAAAAATGGCTACACAAAAGTCTGTTTTTCGATTTGTGAGGCTTCCAGAGCGGTCAGTTTTTTTTTTTTTGAGCTCTCCTCGTTGTCGGTCAGGCCCACCACTTCCGCCCTTCGAACTCTATCTCAAGCGCGAATTAGTTTTAGGAGGTTCTTATGTTGAAGACGTTCTGATTTGGTATCAGATTAAGCTCGACAATACTGTCGAAGACGCGTGTGGTATAGCATGCGACACAGTCGTCTTTCAGCGCGTCTGTAGGTGGTCTCATTCTCTCGTTTCTCGTCTCCTTGCCAAGTCCTGTCGTGTCTTTTGCCAAGTCCTCCCGTCTCCATTGCCAAGTCTCAGTAGTCTGTAGTCTGACTGGTGCTATATTGGTCCGGAGCTCTGTAATGATACGCCAGCCCCAGACAATATGCTTCGGTCGGCTCAGGTTAGGCCAATGACTGGTGGCAGCATCGCAGCAGCATTATACAAGCAGATACCAGCCCTAGAAATGCTCGTGAGATCTGCGCAACCTACGGTCTCGCCAGTGGAGAAACCCGCGTGCATCGACTCATCTTCAGAGCACGTCATTCAATTGCAGCAACTAGAAGACACGCAGCCAGACCAACAGCCTCTACAGACTCACGTGAAGCCAAGGAGGAGCTCTCGCGTTCGCAGATTAACTAAGACCAATACACCGGATTTTTCAGCAAGATCGAGTCGACCATCACGTCGCAAGAAAATTTGTAAAGCTCTCCAATCTGTACTGACATGGAGAGTGGCATACATCAAGGATAGGGTCACTACAGCTAAAGGCGAGATACTCTATCGAGTACTGTGGCGGACAAAAAAAATACGGTCCTCTACCCCGGACGTGGGAGCCGCACAAGATGCTGTCAGAGGACGGTTTTAAAGATATGCTGGCCATTGTGGACGAATGAGTTGACGCCGGGAGAAAGGAAGACTTCTTTCAATTTGTATCGCAGAAATACCCATCTGTGGCAGGTGCAAATTCCACTGGAACATGTCTGTTCCTCGCACTCCAGCAAGCACTGGTATTGGTCGGTGATGTTGAAGGTGTAAAAGATGCACATATTCAAAAGTTCCTCGAGCGGTCTGAGGAACTTCACCAGGACCTGTCCCGTGGGTTACCTTGGCGGATTTTTCGGGTGCTTATTTCTCAAGTACATTTAAATGGTTCTAGACTATCATTGGTGGATTTTGATGATAACAAGCACATCGTGGTATTGCGGCCTTAGAGAGACTGAACCTGGAGGACGGCTTCTATTTGGTTGCTGCGAGTAACACCATGGCTGTTGGACACGCATTTGTCCTTCAAGTTGCGGCGGCTAGGATGACGGTCTATGGCGACAACATTAAGCGTTCACTCAGGCCCTACAGCGAACGAATTGATAGATTGATGTTTGCCCGTAAGGTAGTCCTTCAGAATTAAATAAATAACGGATAAAGCCAAATTGTGTGCTGTATTCAATCGAATAAAAGACGCCCCAGGGGCAGCAGGGTATACAAAATGGAGGTAGCACACTACTGAGCCTGCTTAGGCAGATGCATCTGAATCCCAAATCGTAAACTCATCCAGGTTTTCGAGCAGCTCTTCCTCAACATCGTCGGCTTCGGAATCATCGCCACGAGACAGCCACTTGCGGCAAAACAGCTCACCGTACACGTCGTGGCGGCTAATATGCCAGTCTTGATAGCACCGAGAGAATCCGGCCGCTGCGACAGAGCGGGAAACGACGTCGTCTGGTACATCCTTCCAGGCGGTCTGCACCCACTGCGCCACATCTTCCTCTGGAGGTTGCTTGGGGTTCCCGCCCTTCGTGTACACGACGCGGTCAGACGACTTCCAATCGTCGATGATGCCAGAAAGTTTATCCTTGAAAGATTTGTAAATCCCGATGTCTCCGGCTTGAACGTACGGCGTCAATCCACCGGGAATAACAAACATCTCAATCCTTTTCTTAGCAAACTGCGCCTTCACAGCCTTCGACACGTGGGCGCGCATCGAATCCCACGACGGCTTTCCCCGGTGTAGCTGCATCCAGAACAGGTGGAAAAGCAACATTAAGCCACTTGATCAGCAACTGTGAGTCAACCCATGCTCGTTTTTGATACGTGACATACGTTTTTCCAATCCGCTCAATTGCACCATCTTGACGAGCGCCTTTCCACACGACGAGTGGCGGTAGCTTGCGACCCGACGCAGACACAGCAAGGACTGCAGTCACCCGCATTGAAGCAAAGCCAGTGGACTTCAGCACCACATGACGGGCTCCGGTGGCGTCGATGGTCTGGCGGCGCGGATCTTCAAAATACACCGCGGTTTCGTCCACCAGGACAGTGTGGTCTAGACTTAACGCATCAACCCGTGGCGACAGATATTCCATGTAGCACACGACCCGGTCGGTTAGCACATTGTCGGTGAGCGTCGTGAGGTTGGTCGTCCGACGCAGGGATAGATTGTAGCGCTGCATAAAGCCGTCAACCCACTTGTTCGAGCCGACAAA